CAAATACAGGCAGGCCTTGACCTCCCCGTAAGCAGTCTCTCCTGGACGTCGGCCGTAAGGGCCTTGGATGCTCTTTAGCTCCCGGTACATCCAGAGCCAAGCGCCTGGCCACAGGAGGATCGACCTCCACTTGTACCGACCGTCGTGCTAGTCCGTGGGTCGAGAAGGTAGGATGAATTCAACCAGATCAGCCTCTATAAGCTCGGGAGGATCATACACCCAATATCGGTCCACCACATCCTCCTCTTCTGTCGAGGGTGGCCACATCTGTCTACCTGTTCCCTCTAGTTCTGTAAGGTAGTAGAGCATAAGCGGAGTCGAAAAAGAGGTAAAAAACTCAAAATATCAGAAACATTTCGGCAACATCTACCCTCCCCCCATTGGGATTGGGTTCGGGACAATGTCTCTGTAAGATGGCAGCCAAGAACGAGTCCTAGCCTACCCTAGATACGGATGGTGTCGAATTCCAAGCTCGAACGGAGCCTATACGCCGTTTTCTCGAGTTCTCTCGAATACAAGGCGTGTGCTCCATTCGAGGGAATTTGGTCTATCCCACCCTCGAGCGCGCTTCTGGCCAGCGGAACTCGTCGCCTCGTCAAAAACCCAAAATGAAATGAAACAGTCTTTGTTCTTTTATGTGATTTTAAAGGAATTTTTATAATTTTAATTCATTAAAAATCCGAATAAACGAGAAATAACCAGCTGCCTAGGGGGATAAACCCAAGTCCAGAAGGAAGCTCAAGGTAAGTCCCTACACCTTTTTGATCCTTTGTTGGGATTTTTTTTTGATATTTTTGTAATTAATTGTTTAAAATTAGATTTTAATAACGTTTTTTTTTTTTTTTGCTTTAATCCTGTTAGAATGGCAAGACAAATCTTACCCTAAAGCAGATATGTCCTATTGAAAATTTCTTCTTTTTCTTGTAGTTTTTAAAAAATAATCTAGGCTACCAGCTGAGCCGCCCGGGTCCCGGGTTGCCAGCCCGTGCATGGACAAGGGAGGGTCCCAACAAAAAACAAAAAAAATCCAAAAAACCAAAAAAAAAACTATGTTATGCATAAAAATAAACTGAACAACTTTTGCTTTAGGGTCACATCGAAATTCTTTACCAAATTCAAAATATAAAATAAAATTAAAAAATATATATATATTTTTTAAATTTAAAATATGTTAGGCCCGACCGGGCAAGTGACCCCAGGCCACTCTCGTAGCCTAGAAAATAATTATATAAAATTATAATTAATTCGAATAAATACGCTTTCTTATTTTATATCTATTGAAGGTTGGAATATACTGTACCCTGCTGATTTTTAAGATTTATGGTGGAGAAGAGTATTTTTAGGAAATTTTTAAAAATTTCGGCATCACTTCGCCTCCCTTCGTTGGGATGGGGTTCGGAACGAGTCCCCTCGATTAAGTCCGCCGGAAGGAAAATAGAAGTAAAATAAATGAAGAACGAAAAAAATAATTTTTATAATTTTTTAGATATTTATTTTAATTTGTATTAAATTTATTAGCAAAAAATGAAAAGAATTTTAGGAAATTTTCAGAAGTTTCGGCAGCACTTTCCCTGTCCGCCGTTGGAATGGGGTTCGGGATGGTGTCCCTTGACGAAGGCCGCCGAAGAGAAAATGAAAGTAAGATAGATGGAAAACAAGAAATCACTTTTAAATTAGTTTTTAGATACTCATTTTGATTTTCATTAATTTTATTAGCAAAAACTCAGATTAATTCTTTTTCTTTCACACGTACGTATACCCCACAAGAAAGAAGCCCGAGTCTCCTCAGGTCTAGTCAGCCGCAAGGTTTAGGAGTTAAAATTAATTTTAATCTCTAATATAGTTTTATATATTAATCCTCATCTTAGGGTTTCCCCCAATTAGGGTTTCCTCCAATTAGGGCTTAGGGTTTTGCGCGCGACTGCACGCGTACCGTAAAACCCGTATCACCGTGAATTTTTTTTGTTGGAATCCTTTAAGGTCCAAAGTCAAAAGTGATCGGATCATAATTTGTTTATTTTTGTCCCTTTTGTTTTAAATAAATTAACAAGGAAAATTGCAATTCCCTTACATTTTTTTTTCCACTTTCGTTTTTGTTGAGGGCTTTCCTTTCCACAAAAGAAGACCGTTTTTCCCGACCAAGGTCTCAAAATGTTGGAAAAAATAAACAGAACAACTTTGCCTCAAGCGGACGTCCCCAATTGTTTTTCCAATTTCTTGCAATAAGCTTTAAAATGAAAAAAAAAATAAAAAAAATCGAAATAGCTTTTAGAAAAATAAAAAAAATTGATTATCTCCAGTCGTTAGATTTTATTGAAAAGGGTACCAAAATTTTGGTCTTGACCTAAGGTAGAACTTTGCTCTAGGGGCCGCTTGTGCGCAAACGCCCGGATTAAGAGATATCGTAAAAATAAACTGATAAAAAAAATCAAAAATATAAAACTAATCAAGATAAACTAATCGAACAGAGTAATTAGCACGTGACTAATCAGCCTGCGCACCCCCGTTCAATTGGGGAAGGCCGAGGCCTTGGGGGTGCAGTCCCCTTCCCTACAACGACGCCAAAGTTGTGAGGAAACCCGAGGAGGGGGTCCTACTATTCGTTGAAGCAAGGGGCAACAACGCCTGTCACTCGTTGCGCCCTTGTAGAGGACCCATCAGGTGTGGTGCCTCGCTAGTGACAGAGATGGAGATGGAGGAAGAAGGGGGAGCAAGATGGCACAACGCAGCTCCCCACGCAAGACTCCAACGCACGTACTCCAAAATGTGCAAGTGAGGAATGAGACTGAAAACAGACAATG